CGTTCTTAGCTAGGCGTTAGATGATTCGGTTTGCTATTATATGCTGTACCCTAAGTGCCTACAGATGAATAATATTGGTGCGAGAGTAGGCAAGCACTTATTTTCTATGCTAAATGGCCTGCACGTTGGATAGACTATTGTATGAAAATATAAATGTTAGTTGAGGAAATGCATATACCAGTGTTACCAAATTAGAGCATCAAGATACAAGTGTCGTAACTGGATTAAATACGAGTAATGATGGATCTGAAAACTACAGGCCCAATGTATGAGAAAGTACTGTTCTTGAAGATACGTAAGGCGAAAATTGACGTAACCCATGCACTTACTTCTTTAAAGTCAGGATTAAGCGCAACTTGCCATCGTTGGAGGCAGGCGAAAGCTGTTCGCCCAGTCCCCAGATGCTCAGCGATTTCAGTCCATTTACCCCTTTCTCCTAACAGAGAATCGCCAGTTGATGTAACAGTTCTACAATGGGATGGTCGAATATGGAAACTCTGTCCAATAACGAAAGAGGTCAATTTAGCATCCTCCTCGGGAGTCCACTCGCTTCTACAGAGGCCAGGTCGTACACGATGTAACCACGTCAATCGGCAGTTGGAATCCGAGAAAGTAGAAGAGAGCTGGTAGTGATAAAGAAAAGGAACAAATAGATTAAAGATGCGAGAATACAACAAACATATGGGGCAAAAGAAATATCTTATTATTGTGGGTGACCCATATTCAATGACTATTAATTTAGATTAAATCAAAAAGAGCATGTGATATCAATCGAAATCGCAAAGTGCTGCTAGTGTAAAATTATCAAGTAATCAGAGTTGATACACCAGCTATTAGAGAATATCCCTGACTAAGGCTATAAAAGTACTGCCTGAAATAACTATATATAATAATTAATGGGAATTTTTAAAAAATATGTAATTATGAATGAAGAAAGCTATACGTCCAAACAAGAGCGAAGAAGGTAGCCTATCAATTAAAAATAAGAGCTCATAAAACATTGATGCTTGCCTTGTTGATGGATATATTGATCCAATCAGCCTCGGTTAAGACATTATGTGCCTCGGCAAACTGCTTGATCCAAAATTGGGCGGACTTCAGGCCCTCGCTTCCCAAAAAAAAACGACGCAATAATATTTCGTCGTCATCAGCGGCTATAATCTCTCCTTTGAGAAGTCTCATTATGATTTCCTGTGCTGTCTTGTTTCCTGGTACCGTAACTAATGAGCGAATTCTATCTTCGGGAGATAAGATATCTACAGACTTGGCCAAATCAGCTAATGTGGCTACTAAAGGCTTTGGAGGCTGTCGAACTCGCAATATCTGCTTTAGATGACGATCAATTTGAGAAATTGAGCTCAAAATATTTGACCTCTGGCGAGATAGGCTTAGAGAAATTGGCGCTCGTTTAGAGCGACATTGATTTGCAAAATTGTTCTCCTGCATTTGGCGCTTGTTCAGGATAAGCAAACGGGTTACAAGTGTAGCACGTTGGTTTCTGAGAGCTTTTGACCTTTGGATATTAACATTTTCTGCAACACCGTATATGAGGCATATAAAATCCTTCTTTGCCCCTATTAACAGCACATTAATTAAGTGATAAAAACACAATGGCATATGGGTTTAGCACAATAGGACAATGACGTGAGCAAATAAAAAGTTTTCAAAATAACTCACATTTATGGCTAAAAATAACATGGGCATCAGACAAATTTTCCTCGTTTCGCCGCTTTCGAAGTTTGAACTCCGGATTTAAGGGCAAAACCTATTGTTTAAAAACTAATAAGAATACTTTCCCAACGCCATATTTCAATGGAATTCTTTCTTTGAATTCATAACTTGATAAATATCTCCCAAAGTGAGGGTATGATGAACGGAACTCGGTCTTAAGAATCTCTTTCTGCAATATTTTGTTTATTACTGGATAAACTAACCTGCTGACGCAAAAATAAAATTTCATTATTGAGAGAGTATATTGAATCCTTTACAATATGTTGAATTGTCTCATTTAAAACAGTGCAGTATGATGCTTTTTCCCTAAGAGAATCATCCTCCCGATCACCATCTGACAGCGTTTCCATTTCTACCGCCAATCAAACATAATAAATAATTTTGCTTTTTGTTTTAACAAAAGCTAAAAAATATAAAAATATACTATTTAAAATCAAATATAGCAAGTTGTTTTTCTTTTGTTTGCACGCACTGCTCAGGAGGCTTGTTCTAGCTGAGCGGCGGACGCATGACTCTTCTCAGTATGGACAACAAAGATAGGATATTACTTGCACTTCGCGGTAGAGATAGCCTTCCTCTTTTGAATTATATAACACTGTATTCATTTGCTTACTTCCTATCTCCTTGTTGACTTTAGCATTGAAGAAGGAGAGCCTCAATACTATCCCCCTCATCCTTGATGAATATCTTAAGCAAGTATCCCTTAGTGGCCAAACCAGGTTTGTTTTAGTTGGTTTATTCTTCCTTTAAGATTCCCGTGGAAAGATGTCAAACCATTGATTTTGCGTAAATTCAGCATGGTTGCTGAAGATTTCATCAGAACCCATGCATCAGATGACCTCTCCTTCACTAGTCCATCTCAACCAAGTGCTACTGATCTTCGTAATAGAATATTCAAGACCATCAGACGTTTTGAAGGGTAATGATTTTTTCTAATTTTTAAAGAATTCCTTTTACGATCCAAAGGTTGTGTGAATTGCTGTTGGAACCATATAGGCACTATTCAAGAGCAGACAAATACTTGCGGGGATTTGAGAAAGTACCTTGTATTATTTGCTTTAATGGCTTTATAGGCGTGTCTGGTCGTTTCATCGGTCGATTTGTATGGAAAGTATGTTCCTTAATTTTTGTTCATTTCATTTTAGTAAAATACATCGTCAAGACCCATTGCTATCTTTAAGTATTTCTGATGTGGAAGATGACGAGGATGGTTTATTAATAGGTAGTTTGGCAAATGTAAGCGGGCGAGCTAATCATTTTCGCGATGGCTCACTTACACCACCTACTTCATCGTCACCTAGCATTGGTAGTGGCGCTGCTGCTGGTAATACTTCTCCAGGCTCGGAGGAAGATGATGAAGAGGAGGAAGATGAGCTGGAGGATTTTTTTGTACGAGATGACAAAGATTCTGCTTCTAAACTATCCAACAAACGCAAACATAGCAATTCTGATAGTCCGTCCTTCGACGACTGTGCTCATGACAATCAAATTGGCCCTCTTATTGGTTCAATAATGAAGAATAGCTTAACTAGAGATTCTCTTGAATTGTGTGAGACGCGCGAATCAGGCGTACGTTTTCATTTGATTACCATATATTGGTGTTACTTGTATACGTTTTGCTAGATTAACTTGATGGCATTAAAATAATATTCTAGATCGATGATGGTATACCCGGCATTTCGGTCTCTGATACTCCGGATTTTCAGGTATTCAAGGAGCGTATAATTTCAAACGAAGGCTCTACGTCCG